TAACACACTCTACAATGCACTCTATAACGCACTCTACAATGCACTCTACAACGCACTCTATAGCACACTCTACAACGCACTCTAACACTCACTCTACAACTCACTCTACAACACACTCTACAACTCACTCTATAATGCACTCTATTTTTCACTCTATAACGCACTCTACAACACACTATGACGCACTCTATCACGCACTCTACAGCTCACTCTGTAGCTCAGTCTATAATGCACTCTATAACGCACTCTATAACTCACTCTATAACACACTCAACACACTGTACAATGCACTCTACAACGTACTCTATAATGCACTGTATAACGTACTCTATAAGGCATTGTACAATGCACTCCATAATGCACTCTATAATGCACTCTATAACACACTCCCCCAGACTTTGGAACAGTCTGCCTTCAAAACTCTGCCTCTCCAAAACTGTAGAGGTCTTCAAAAAACATTTAAGAACTCACCTTTTCATCCAGGCGTTCCCCCGCTAAATATTCTGAAAGATGGCTTTGTCTTTGTTCATACCTTGACTTTGTTTTTACTCCTGATTTAGTTTACCATTTTGTCACTGCTATTGTTTTTTTTTATGATGTTTTTATCGGTTTGAGTTATCTGCCCTTATTTTCCTCATGTTGGACAGCACTTCATGTGATTCATATCTGCGAAAGGCGCTTAATAAATAAACTTTTACTTACTTAAACCAGGTACTGGTAGCTGTGGCACTGTGTGCAGGTGCCAAGTCCTGTTGGAAAATGAAATCTGCATCTCCATATATATATATATATATATATATATATATATATATATATATATATATATATATATATATATATATATATATATATATATATATATATATATATATAAGTTGGTCAGCAGGTGGGAGCAGGACATGCCTGCTTCCTGGTAGACAGCTACATTGACCTTGGACCTCAGAAAACGCTATGGACCAACACCAGCAGATGACATGCACCCCGAACCATCAGTGAGTGTGGAAACTTTACACTGGACCTCAAGCAACATGGATTCTGTTCCTCCCCACTTTATCGACACTCTGGGACCTTGATTTTTAACCTTCCATTTTTATCCAAAGTCCTGGAGAAAATAGTGGCCATCCAAGTATGTCAGCATGTAAACACTAATGCTCTGTTTGAGGAATTTCAGTCTGTTTTAGAGAGTATCACAGCACTGAAACTGCATTAGTGAGAGTTACAAATGATATTCTTATGGCCTCAGATAAGAATCTTGTGCCTGTTCTAGTCTTGTTAGATCTCAGTGCTGCCTTTGACACACTTGATCACAATGTTCTTTTAGAAAGACTTGAACATGTTGTAGGGATCAAAGGAACAGCGCTAGGCTGGTTTAAATCCTACCTGTCTGACAGATTTCATTTTGTAAACGTACATGACAAATCGTCTTCATACTCCAGGGTTACTTGTGGAGTGCCACAGGGTTCAGTGCTTGGACCAATTCTTTTTACTATATATATGATCCCAATTGGTAAAATCATTAGACAGCATGGGATAAACTTTCACTGTTATGCTGACGATACTCAGTTATATTTATCCATTTACCCTGATGGACCTAATCGGTTGGGTAGATTACAGGCTTGTCTTGAGGACATAAAAAATTGGATGACTCTAAACTTTTTGCTTTAAAATCAAGACAAGACGGAAGTTCTCATCTTTGGACCAGAAATCCAGAAAAGGAAATTGCTTAGCCAATCACCTGACCTGAATGGCATTACATTAATCTCCGAGAACAAAGTAAGGAACCTTGGTGTTATCTTTGACCAGGACATGTCATTCAAATCCCAGGTTTAACAGGTTTGTAGGATTTCCTTTTTCCACCTTCGGAATATTGCTAAGATTAGAAGCATCCTTTCCAGGAGTGATGCTGAAAAACTAGTTCATGCATTTATTACATCAAGACTGGATTACTGTAATTCATTACTCTCAGGAAGTCCACAGAATGTAGTTAAAAGTCTTCAGCTTGTCCAAAATGCTGCAGCTAGAGTTCTGATGAGAATTAAAAAGAGAGATCATATCTCTCCTGTCTTAGCTTCCCTACATTGGCTACCTGTTAAATTCAGAATAGATTTTAAATCCTTCTTCTCACATAAAAGCTCTTAATAATCAAGGTCCATCATACATCAGTAATCTGATTGTTCCCTACGTTCCTAACCGAGCACTTCGCTGTCAGACTGCAGGTTTACTGGTGGTTCCCAGAATATCTAAAATTAGGATGGGAGGCAGATCTTTTAGTTATCAGACTTCTCTCTTGTGGAACCAGCTCCCAGCTTTAGTCCGTGAGGCAGACACCTTGTCTACTTTTAAGAATAGACTTAAAACATTTTTATTTGATAGGGCCTATGGTTAAAATCTGATGTTAGCCTAAATCTGGACAAGTGGGGGAGTAGAGGGAGGTGGAGTGTACAGTCGGTAAAGACGGCTCTCCCTTGCCCTGCCTCCAACATGCCTCCATCTAAATAGGATAGGTTATCCAGAGTTTTCTCTGTAGTTATGCTGCTATAGGCTTAGACTGCTGGAGGACACACTGACCACTTTCCACACTCTACTACTTTCTTCTACAATCTGCTCTTTAACTGTATTATTTCCTGCTATTTCAGCTGTTAACTTTATTTCCTCTCTAAGTGTTTTTCTCCCCAGAAGAAGCTACAACGATGTTCTGCTGAGCTGTGGTGGCCTCATGGAGGGGGCCATCGTCTAGCACACTGCTGCTAACCACTTAAACATTCTCCCTCTCCTGATAATAACTTTTTACTCTCTTTGACATTGAGTGTGCTACTACTTGTTTACCCATTTAATTATAGATCCACTAGGATAAATACAATAAAGTTTCTCTCACCAAATAGAATATTTACTAAGACATCACAATAGAACTATAGACACATTATTGTGTATGTGTATGTTTGTGTGTGTGCTCTGTCTTCTCGATCCCCAGTGAGTCGTGGAGGATGGCTGCTTATACTGAGCCAGGATTCTCTGGAGGTTTCTTCCTGTTAAAAGGGAGTCTTCCTCTCCACTGTCGCTTTATGCTTGCTTAGTATGAGGATTGCTATATAGTCACTGACACTAGTCAGTGACTTGATGCAATTTGCTGGGTTCCTTATATAGGACACATTATTTCTGATTGGCTTAATGAACTGTGAATTGGAATGTTTATTATGTGAAGTGCCTTGAGACGACTCTTGTCGTGATTTGGCGCTATATAAATAAACTTGAATTGAATTGAATTTCCAAATGAAATACAAATTTTACTTTAATCAGAGAACAACATTTTGGACCAGTCATCAGCAGTCCAGTCCCTTTTGTCTTTAGCCCAGGTGAGACACTTCTGACGCCGTCTCTTGTTCAAGAGTGGCTCGACACAAGGAATGCAACAGCTGAAACCAGGTGTTGCATGTCTGTGTGTGGTGGTTCTTAAAGCACTGACTCGAGCTGCAGTCCACTCTTTGTGAATCTTCTCCACATCTTTATTGGCTTTTGTTTCACTACCCTCTCCAGGGTTCGGTTATCACGATTACTTGTACACTTTTCTACCACATCTTGTCCTTCCCTTCACCTCTTTATGTGCATGGACACAGCTCTGCGAACAGCCAGGCAAACTTGTGTCTTGCCCTTTTTTGCATTGGTTTTAATTTATATTCTAATATTTTGAGAAACTTAATTTGAGATTTTCATTAGTTGTCAGTTATAATCATCAAAATTAAAGGTGGAATATTTCAATTAAAAACTATATATTTTTAACATTACCTCCACGAGGCGTTTAGAGGTGTGCAGCATGAATGTAGTTTCTCCTTCAAATTACATTTTTTTCCAGGTATGACGCTAGGTTTATGTTTACATCTACCAGCCACTAGCGGGCACCGTTGCAGTAAAAAGCCCACTCGGCACGGCGAAGGGGTTTCATTTTTTGAAAGGAAATACTGAAACAAATCAACTTTTTCCAAGAAATTCTAATTTTATCATCAGCACCTGTGCACACGTGTACATATACATACATGTGTGTACATATACATACACGTGTACATATACATACATGTGTACATATACATACATGTGTGTACATATACATACACGTGTACATATACATACATGTGTGTACATATACATACACGTGTACATATACATACATGTGTGTACATATACATACATTTTTACCGACGTCCTTCACAGGAATTTTTCCAAACAAATTTAAGATGTTCCAACAGAAATTACCACATTTTTTAGCCCCAATGAAAGCCCATTTCAAGATGGCCACAGCACCTGGAATAGATGGGCCCAATCCCAATACTCGCCCTGCGGTCTTCAGCAGCGTGCACTTGGAAAAAGCGCGCAGTAAGGCCTCAAGTGCGTGGTACACAAGTGTACAAATAATTGCCAAATTGAGACTGGCAGCGATGTCGTTGATCGCCACGCGCGCCAGAACGCTGGTCGCTGGGATCCTTTTAAAGAAAGTTTAACAACTTTCAAGCCAATTATTTGAAATAAATTTACATTTATTGCTCTTTTGTCTAAAAGTTTCAGAGCATCAACTAATCATCCTAAAATCAAATACTTTAACTAGAAAATACATATTTGCAGAAAAGGCACTTGAGCCGTTCTCCCCTCAGCAGTGGATTGTGGGTAATACCACATTGATGCAGACTTGGGAGAGGTGCGGATCAAGCTTGCAAAAGGGGCATGATCAATTTTGCACTTGAGAATCAGGACGCCCTACATACTCACGCCCCTGGTTGAGGGTAAGTGTTGGGATTTGGCCCTGGATGTGATCCGTTTTAGCTGCAAAGCACCAACCACAACACAAAACCTTAAATCCGTGACCTATCGGCATCGGCTGACCTCCACAACGTGTTTCTAAGTTTGGGTTCATCTCCTGATAACTTGTTTTTCCTTTTAAACCAACATCACTTTCTTTTACCCGTTGAAACTTTATTACATAAACATCTGAACTAAAATAAAAACAAACATTTGTATTTGAAGAAAATATTGTTTTATTCTGCCAAATAATCCAACATGGTGGAGCTTCGTTGAAACACGACTCCAGTTCAGAACCCAATCAACAAACAGTTGCAACCGATACAAGAATGTAGAGCGACCCAGCAGCTGGTACTGCTGACACCAGAGTCAGACAGGCCCACAAAGCCCAACAGGGTTCAAAACCAACAGTCTGACTTGTGCAGAACCACTGATCGGGTCAGGCTCAGCTGTACGTTGTTTGAGTTAAACTGACAGAGACAAGAATGGGTTTCAGCTGTAAGCGCTGATGCTAGATCAGATCTGAAAACACCAAAGAGACAAAAGACATCTTTAAAACTTTCTTCTTTGATACACAAAAAACAACAGTCAAGTACCAAATATGCATGCTGGATCAGAAATCCTGTCAAAAGGGAACGTGAAAAATCCTTTAGTTCTTTAATAGAAGAGGCTGGGATCAGCAGCAGTAAGAACACGACACGACTCCGGGGAGAACAACAAACATTCAAACCTCACTGCAGATAAAACTCTGCAGATCTGCTCTGGCTCCAGGAATTCTGCGGTTAACAGTCGTGGGATATTGGCCAGCACAAACACTCAAACGAGGCGGCAGGTGTTGGGTTTATGTTGCTGGGGCGGAGCCTCCTAAGCCACACCCATTTCCTAGAGTGTATTTTTGTAAGAAAGAGCTGAGTTTCCAGAAGTGAAAACTCTAAACAGTCGAGAAAAGTAAACTTGATCAAACCTGTTTGGGTTTATCCCACTAACCCACGCTTTGCTTTCCGTCTGTTGGAGCGCCACACCTGGTCTGTGGGCGGGGCTTGATACACTTGCCCCCATCTCAAATCTGGGCGACAGGAGGAGGAATATTGCATGATGTGGTGGGAAAAGTGGAGGTCCTCTACCCCCAGTACAGAAACGCTGCGGGGCTTCCGTAGCTGCGACTTTAACCCCACAGGAACAGCTTCAGCCCGACGACTAGAGAAACCCAAGCAACTAAAACTTTATAAGGATTCTATGGTACATCTGAAAAACAACCAGTTTTTGTTGAAGATTGTGCAAAACTAATTCCCCAAAGAAAACCAACCAAAGGAACTCTGGCTGGGTCTTTCTGTGCAAAATGCTGTGACTCTGAGGTTTGGTAGTTTTCCTTGAACAAGGAACGCTTTGGAAGGACGGGAGATGGATCCTTCCACCAGAACATGAACCTGCTCTTTCCTTCCTCAGCTTTGTGACGGTCTTACAGAGTAAAATCCCTTTCTGAGAAAGGAGACTGAAAACTAAAATCTTTGGTCCAAATGTTTCAGGAAGAGTGAAAACGAGCCGTTTAGCTCCATAAAAACTGTAAATATAGAATTCTTTCTGTATAAGACGGATCACGGAGAAATAAACGTGTGCAACTCTAGACGCTCCGTGTGCAGGAGCCCATCGGTCTTCCTAAACCAAATACTTCCATCTGTAATAAACTCTTCATACAAACATTCAACTGTGAGCAGCGCTCCAAGTCAGGAGAGCGGGAATTCCCTACAACCAGACACTGTTACTAAAGTGTGACGGGGGCAAGAACACGCCCACAGAAAGAGTTTAGCTTAGTTAGACTGACGCAGAAAAACCCTGATTAGTTTAGTTTTTATCCAAACGGCCTTGGTAGGAAAACCTGAATACACCTGAGGGTAAAGACGCAATATCGATCCAATCAGATGTGCCTGTGATCCCAGTAGCACCTGAAGATGATCCCGTATGAACGCAAACGTTTGTACATTCATCAACAATCCCACTTCAGAGGGGATCCGGTCGGATCCAGGTCCAGGACCAAAGATCCAACCAAACACGGTGTAGACGTCTCTGATCGGGAAGGCTTCTGCTGCTCGGCTGTGGAATCGAGTCTAATTAGGTTTCGTGTTCCTGTGAGGTCCGGGTGGAAACCGTAGAGTCCAAATGTAGATGAACCAGCAACTCCAAACTGGTTCCCATCCGTAGCTTTCAATGAGCAAACAGACTCTGGTTTCGGTAGTCTTCATGAACCGTCTCAGTCGATGAGGTTTCAGCGGAGACTTTGCTGATTCTGTTCTTTAGAACAACACGCCCAACAGGAAGTCCGGAGTCAAACGTTCCAGCTGATTACGGCTGAGCTGCATCCTCGCCACGCGGCACCTTTTCTCTGAGTTTAGCAGAAAAAGTTCAAAACGCCACAAATGTTTTCTGACATTTATGATCTGAGACTTTCCAGGTGGAGCAGGAAGTGTTTCAAAGGATGGAACCAAATCCAGCAGAAACGGCATTTTATTGGCTGGAGTTGTTTAGGGGAACTAGAAGGACTGCAGCTTTAATTTAGGTGTGATCGCTAACATGACCACTAGGTGGCAGTACTTTTGCAGTGTTTTGAGCTCTCTCAGCCTCCGTAGTTTCTTAGAAGGTTGTGGGTCTGGTGACTAAACTACAAATAAATGAGAACTTCCGGGTCCAATAACTTCTGCGGCGTGTGACTGATGAGTCTAAACGTTTTGGTTTGTGGTCCAAATCTGAGAAATGTGGGATTTAAACACACAACCTCTCATTTCTCCTCACTGGAAACAGAACAAGGTCTCCGGTTCTGATCCGGGACGTTAACACATAGGCACAAAACAAGGTGAGCAAAGCAGAAGTAAAGTAAACCTTGAGTTGGTTGTCCATCAGCAGCAGGCGGCTCCTTATGCTACACGTATGTCGCTTTGCTGTCCGAGCTGGAGTTTAGGTAGCAGCCGTTCGACTTCTCCGTTTCTCTCAGTCTTGTTTTTTATCTCACATTCAAACATCTAAACCTTCTTGTGCAAATGAAGCAGTCTTTAAGAGGAACGCCCTCCGCTGTGGCGTGTGGTCAGACTCCGCCCCTCCTCTGGGTGGACGGGGCTCACCTGCGTACAGAGAGAGTGTGAGCGTAGACGGGGTGAGCGAGGCGCACGCTGAGCGCATCATTGTGCTGGACGAGCGAGGTGTGCTGGTAGTGGAGCACCAGCTCCTTCAGGCTGCCGTACAGGTCGTAGGGCTCGGCAAAGCCGAAGCCTCGTGGTGTGCTGTAGATCATGCAGTGCTTCACCTCGCCCTCCACCCTGAGGAGACATGATGGACACCAGGTTAAACCTGAGTGACGCTCACTTCAGATCTTCTGAAGTAAGTTTCAGTGGAAACTGCACCAGCAGTCTCAGTTTGGAGAAAGGGATTAATTGTGTTTATAGAGCTGAAGCCACACCCATCTACTCCTGGACCACAGGTACCCTACTGTCAAAGACAAGAATGAGAGTCTACGAGAGGATCAAAGTTATTTTCTAATACAGGACGCTCTCAGCCTGAACAGATTTGACAGGTGACCCTTAAATAGTGGATGAACAGTCAGTTTAGTCCTTCGCATTAGGGGTCGACCGATTAATCGGTCGGTCGATTAATCGGTCCGATATTTAGCATTTTTTCATCATCAGCAATGGATGATAAGCCTCTTTGGTTGAGCCGATTTACAGTCAGGCACCATTATGTGTGTGTATGTATATATATATATATATATATATATATATATATATATATATATATAAACTTATGAAATTATTTTAATGGGAAATTATTAAATAATGTTAGGAAGCAGGCTGAGGAAACAAACTCAAAGTGTAATATTAAATGTACAAAGCATAAAAAACGTATAATCTTTCAGTTAAGCCCCGTTTTAGTTTTTCTGAATGAACTGACTCCTGCACACAGCGTAGACGTAGAAGAGTAGACGCCGCACCAACCCCTACTGCCTATGTTTGGCCGCATTTGCGGGTTCTACGTTTTATAAACTCTATGGTTAACAGAATGTTTTAGCTAGGCTTTAGCTCTGGAATAGCTCCATGGAGATCTGGAGCTAGAACGGTGAAAGAACGCGTTCATAAACCCGTTCCTAAACCCGTATGTGAAAAACACAAAAGTCAGATTTACTCTAAGGCCACCTGTTGCAGATTCTTCTGGACTTTCTGATGGATCTTGGCCTCGGCACTCCAACTTTAATCTAGTTTGAACCGTTTCTCCAAACCGAGGCTGCATTAGGTAGGACACCCCCAGCTGAAGCGTGAGTGAACTTACACCACAGAGCAGGCGTAGCAGCCCTTCCTGCTGCTCTCCCGGACCAGGAAGGCTCCGCTTGGCTTCCCGGTCAGCAGCTCTTCAGCCTCCGTTCGCTTCAGATTCCCAACAAACCAGCTCTTCTCATCGTAGTGAGGCAGGTTCTCCTCCTCTTCACTCACAGAGGAGCCTCTGCATCCAGACGCAGAAGCGTGTTAGCTGATGAATGCTCAGCTGATTGGTCAAACATCGGATACTCACTCATCTGGGTTTTCGGTCTGGACTCCGAGCCAGTCGTTGATTCTTTTCTGACGGACTCCTTTGTGATTGAGCCATCTACGGAGGAGACACAGGAACATCACATCATGTCTGGGAGGCTGCTTTCATTTAAGAACCACAGAACAAAAACCTGATTACAGAACCATAATAATGAGGACCCTGACCAGCAGGCTGGTTATGCTTTTACTGTGAAGGTCTTATGGTTATAGTAAGCCATAGTGGATCTGAGGAGGCTTCAGGAATGAGAAACCCATCATCCCAACAGACCGCTCCACTCTGAAACAAAGCCATCTACTGGTTTCCTGATCAGCCACCTGGGTTCTGTGGTTCTGCTCAAAGCTCCGGCTGACACCAGGTTCTTTCCTGGTGCACATGGGCAGAGACAGCCATGAGGTCCGGGCTGGGCCTGTGCAGCACAACCCTAAAGAGTACTAAAGAATGACTCAGCGTTGTGCAGAGGCCTGCCTCCAGCCCTCTCTAGTGAGCTCTGGTTCTAACTCATCCAGCTGCGTTGTGACTTTTCCATGTGAAGGTGAAGGACTGAGGACTCACACCAGGTACTGGTCCCTGATCCTGCGGAGCTGGATGAGGTCGGGCTTCAGGCTGTTCATCTTCTTGTCTGTCTCACGGTTGTCCATAGCTTGCATCTGCAGGTCCTGCTCCAGCCGGTCTTTACTGTTGTGTATCTCTCCGAGGCGAGACTTCAGCTTCTCGTAGTTCATCATGATCCTCTCCCTCTCCTTGTCGTTGTCCTCGCAACAGAAACGCTCGCCGTAGTCCTTGCTGTAGCGCTCCTGGGTGTGGCACTGCTCCTCAAAGATCTTGATGGTCTCGTTGAAGGCCTCGATGGCCGTCCGCTTCATCTGGATATCCTGAGAGAGGAGAGAGGATGGAGGTCAGTGGATGAAGAAGGAGGACCATGACCTCCTGTCAGGATGTGTTTACCTGTGAGGTCTTTGTGTGTTCTTCATACAGCTTGTCGTACTCTTTGCTCTTCTCCTGATACTGATTGTGATATTCCTGCAGTTTCTTCCCCACAGCATCGATGTTGTCCTCCTTCACCAGCTGATCCTGTAGAAGACACAGTTAACATTACTCACCAAGCCCTGGTAGCAATGCATTGTGGGAAACCCTGCAGAACAAAACGTTTCTTCTGCAGGAATCCAGATTAGGTCTAGACCAGCCTGGCTCAGAACCAGATTTTCATTTACTAAAGTCTGTTTTGGTTCCATCAAGTTCTGCATCACCCTGGCCTTCACCATGATCTCAGCGGCGTCTCCCTTCCCACCAGGAGCGTTTGAGACACTCCGCAGCAGCAGCTGATCCTGCAGAACTGCAAAGTCACGCGTGATTTCACCAGTTCACACGATAAGTTCTGCTTACCTGGGCAACAGTTTGTTTGCTTCGTCTTCGTCTTCCTCCGCTTATCCGGGTCCGGGTCGCGGGGGCAGCATCCCAATTAGGGAGCTCCAGGCCGTCCTCTCCCCGGCCTTGTCCACCAGCTCCTCCGGTAGGACCCCAAGGCGTTCCCGGACCAGATTGGAGATGTAACCTCTCCAACGTGTCCTGGGTCGACCCGGGGGCCTTCTGCCGGCAGGACATGCCCGAAACACCTCCCCAGGGAGGCGTCCAGGAGGCATCCTGACCAGATGCCCAAACCACCTCAACTGGCTCCTTTCGATCCGGAGGAGCAGCGGTTCTACTCCGAGCCCCTCCCGAATGTCCGAGCTCCTCACCCTATCTCTAAGGCTCAGCCCGGCCACCCTACGGAGGAAACTCATTTCGGCCGCTTGTATCCGCGATCTCGTTCTTTCGGTCATTACCCAAAGCTCATGACCATAGGTGAGGATTGGGACGTAGATCGACCGGTAAATCGAGAGCCTGGCTTTCTGGCTCAGCTCCCTCTTCCCCACGACAGATCGGCTCAGCGTCCGCATCACTGCAGACGCCGAACCAATCCGCCTGTCGATCTCCCGATCCCTCCTACCCTCACTCGTGAACAAGACCCCGAGATACTTAAACTCCTCCACTTGAGGTAGGACCTCTCCCCCGACCCGGAGGTGGCAAGCCACCCTTTCCCGGTCGAGAACCATGGTCTCAGATTTGGAGGTGCTGATCCTCATCCCAGCCGCTTCACATTCGGCCGCGAACCTACCCAGCAAGAGCTGAAAGTTAGAGCTGGATGAAGCTAGGAGGACCACATCATCCGCAAAAAGCAGAGACGAGATTCTCCTGCCACCAAACTCGACACACTCCACACCACGGCTGCGTCTAGAAATTCTGTCCATAAAAGTGATGAACAGAACCGGTGACAAAGGGCAGCCCTGGCGGAGTCCAACCCTCACTGGGAACAGGTCCGACTTACTACCGGCTATGCGGACCAAACTCACGCTCCTCTGGTAAAGGGACTGAATGGCCCTTAACAGAAAGCCACCCACCCCATACTCCTGGAGCGTCCCCCACAGGGTGCCCCTGGGGACACGGTCATAAGCCTTCTCCAAATCCACAAAGCACATGTGGATTGGTTGGGCAAACTCCCATGCCCCCTCCATCACCCTTGCAAGGGTATAGAGCTGGTCCACAGTTCCACGGCCAGGACGAAAACCACATTGCTCCTCCTCTATCTGAGATTCAACTATCGATCGGACCCTCCTCTCCAGTACCTTGGAGTAGACCTTTCCAGGGAGGCTGAGGAGTGTGATCCCCCTATAGTTGGAACACACCCTCAGGTCACCCTTCTTAAAGATGGGGACCACCACCCCGGTCTGCCACTCCCTAGGAACTGCCCCCGATGACCACGCAATGTTGTAGAGACGTGTCAACCATGACAGCCCTACAACATCCATAGCCTTGAGATACCCAGGACGAATCTCATCCGCCCCCGGGGCTCTGCCGCTGTGTAGTTGTTTGACTACCTCAGCAACTTCTGCCCCCGAGATTGGACAGTCCATCCCCAGGCCTCCCAGCTCTGGTTCCTCCTCGGAATGCGCATTGGTGGGATTGAGGAGCTCCTCAAAGTATTCCTTCCACCGTCTGACTATAGCCTCAGTTGACGTCAGCAGCTCCCCATCCCCACTGTAAACAGTGTGAGCGAGTTGCTGCCTGCCTCTCCTGAGGCGCCGGACAGTTTGCCAGAACCTCTTTGGAGCCGATCGATAGTCTTTCTCCATGGCCTCACCAAACTCCTCCCACGCCCGAGATTTTGCCTCGGCAACTGCCACTGCTGCACCCCGCTTGGCTATCCGGTACCTGTCTGCTGCCTCCGGAGACCCACAGACCAGCCACACCCTGTAGCCCTCCTTCTTCAGCCTGACGGCTCCCCGAACCTCTGGTGTCCACCAGCGGGTACGGGGGTTGCCACCACGACTGGCACCGGCCACCTTACGACCACAGCTAGCAACAGCCGCCTCGACAATCGCAGAGTGGAACAAGGCCCACTCGGACTCAATGTCCCCCACTGCTCTCGGGACGTGGTCAAAGCTCTGCCGGAGGTGGGAGTTGAAGACCGTCTTGACAGGTTCTTCTGCCAGGCGTTCCCAGCAGACCCTCACTATGCGTTTGGGTCTGCCAGGTCTACGCGGCATGTTCCCTTGCCATCTGATCCAACTCACCACCAGGTGGTGATCAGTTGACAGCTCCGCCCCTCTCTTCACTCGGGTGTCCAAAACATACGGCCGCAGGTCAGATGATACGACTACAAAATCTATCATCGACCTGTGACCTAGGCTGCCCTGGTACCAAGTGTACCGGTGGGCATCCTTATGTTCGAACATGGTGTTCGTTATGGCCAAACTGCGGCTTGCACAGAAGTCCAATAACGAAACACCGCTCGAGTTCAGATTAGGTGGGCCGTTCCTCCCAATCACACCCCTCCAGGTCAAGCTGTCATTGCCCACGTGAGCATTGAAGTCCCCCAGCAGGACAATGGAGTCCCCTGATGGAGCACTATCTAGCACTCGTCCCAGGGACTCCAAAAAGGGTGGGTACTCTGAACTGATATTTGGCCCATAAGCACAAACAACAGTCAGGACCCGTTCCCCGACCCGAAGGCGCAAGGAAGCTACCCTCTCGTCCCCCGGGGTAAACCCCAACACACAGGCAGAGAGTCTCGGGGCTAACAAAAAGCCAACCCCAGCCCTCCGCCTCTCACCCGGAGCAACTCCAGCAAAGTAGAGTGTCCAACCCCTCTCCAGGTCTCGGGTTCCAGAGCCAATGCAATGTGTCGAGGTGAGTCCGACTATATCTAGCCGGTACCGCTCAACCTCTGCCACAAGCTCCGGCTCCTTCCCCGCCAGCGAGGTGACGTTCCATGTCCCAAAAACTAGTTTTCTTGTCCGGGGATTGGACCGCCAAGGCTCCCGCCTTGGTCTGCCACCCGATTCGCATTGCACCGGACCCTTCATGTTCCTCCTGCGGGTGGTGGGTCCACAGTTGGACGAGCCCATGTATCCGGTTCGGGCTGGGCCCGGCCGGGCCCCATGGGCGAAAGCCCGGCCACCAGGCGCTCGCTCACGGGCCCCAACCCCAGGCCTGGCTCCAGGGTGGGACCCCGGTAACCCTCCGGGCCGGGTACTCCGACTCTTCGTTTTAACCGCCATGAAAGATCCTTCGAGTTTGTTTGCTTTAGTAGGTAATTAACTGGAAAATCTGCATGGGACTTTTAGTTTGAAAGTTTCTGGATGCTTTACACTGCTTCTGTGCTTGACTTCCTGTCTGTTCTGATCTGAACTGCTCTGCTCCTCGCCCATTAGAAACACTTCCATTCGGGATAATGGCGATTATTCGCTGCATACTACGCTTCCCAAATCTTTCCCTGTGCCTAAAAACAACATAGGGAGATGCAGGATTGAGCTCCCAGAATTCCAGAGTGGTGAACAGCAGATATCAAGAGTGTGTAAGTTACCAAATACCCGTTACTCCACTACTTAAGGAAGTTCATTACGGAGCAGAGACAGCCCCGCACACACTTTCTCCCACCATCACGGCAGCAAAGTGTCGCTGTGGTTTATGAGGTTGTGGGAAGGTTGGGAGGAACACCTATCGGTGTTGGTACTGACGCTTTATTGTAGTTTTACGCAACTTCCCTTTAATCCTCCTGATGTGTAAATCTCACGCTCAGTGGCTGAAGTTAAAAGAACTTTCTGCCAAGTGTCCGGGCGACAGGAGCTACGTGTGCCACGTGCCGCGCTCCACAGCAGCCTTTTGGCCTCATTAATAACAGTTATGAACGTTTATGAACCGATTTAGCGTCGGCACGCGCCACACTGCGATGAAGCGCCACACCACGAGCAGATAAGGACACAGTCATTCACGGATCAAATCGTCACATTTTAAATTGGCTTCTGATTAAACTTTTGTGATTTTTAATTTTCTGCAAGAATGTGGTGGACAGAGCCTAATGAGACCCCAGGATGATGTGTTGTGGGTGGAGCAACAACCTGCTGGAGGTGTGAGACGGGGTACAGGAGCCTGACATCCAGCGTGGTGTTGTACTGAGCCAGAGACTCGTGTCGGTAGTGGTTGATGAGCTCCACCACAGAGCCAAAGGTCAGCGGGTCGGAGAACCCGTACTTCCCATCTCTGTGGTAGATCTTTATCAGCTTGTTGTTGCCTCCCTTCCTGAAACCAAAAGCAAAAACTGAT